TTGTCTGACCGGGAAACACTGTAATATTATTGTAAAAAAAAAAAAAGTGTCGACCAGTTAACGCGCAACAAAAGAAATTAGATAAAGAAAAAGTTAACATCGTAATAGCCGGTCAACGACGGCGACGATCAAAATTTTCGGCCAAAGTTGAGGTTAATGGTCAAAGTTTGTTAATTAATAAAATTTGGGTTAAATTATAGTTCAAATAATAACATCGGAATTAGAAGTTGCAAAGTATTTTTGTCTCTGATGCACTTAATAAGGAATATTTTGATCTAGACCTCTTATAAATAGGTATGCTCATATGAGTTTATACGAAATTTGTCGTCACTCATATTATATAGATACAAACTTTACAAATAGGGGTTTTTATGCATAAGTCCCCAACCAAGCATGTTTATTATTCTAGGTTTATGGGCTATATATTTTTCACCAATAAGTCCATCCCTATATTTATTATAAATAAAGGAAACATTCATGTATATACCCATATTACCCTCAACCATTTATACCTAATTTTTAATTGTAACCCCAATTTAATCAATTTTGTCCACAAAAATCCAATTCTGACCACAAAAATTCAATTTTGACTTTTTTTGGAGCATACTTTAATATGCTCCAATTTCATCCTTAACTTAATTTAATCTCAATTTGACCCCAAATTTCATAAATTATACAATTTTGACCACAAACTTTTTTTTCAAAAAAAAAAAATTCAAATTTTTATTTTTGCCGCCGATCTCCGGCGTTGACTTTTCAAAAAAAAAAAAACAAATTTTCTTTCGGATGTTTTCGCCGGTTTCCGGCGGTCAACGCCGGTCTCCGACGTTACTTTTTTTTTTGTTTTTTTTTTTACGTCCGCCGCTAAACGTTGACCGTAATTGTGCTGTCACTGACAGTAAATTAACGTAATTATACTGTCAATGACAGTTAATTAACGTAATTGTACTGCCGTTGACAATACATTTATGTAATTGTTCTGTCGTTGACAGTAAATTAATGTAATATTATTATCTTTTTGGGTTTTTGGTTTTGTTTGGGTTATTCACGGAGTAACATAATAATATTACTGTCTATTATTGTAATATTACTGTAAACACAATAATATTATTGTGGTTGACGGTAATATTGCTGTTGTTATAGTAATATTGTTGTCAACCACATCAATATTATTATTGTGTTTGAATTTTTTGTTTGTTTGAGTTATTCACGGAGTAACGTAATAATATTACTGTCTATTATTGTAATATTACTGTGGTTGACGGTAATATTACTGTTGTTATAGTAATATTACTGTCACTCACAGTAATATTAATTCTTTTGGTTTTTTATTATGTTTACATTTGTTGAACGGTCAACATAGTAATATTATTCTATTACACAATAATAATGAGTTTTGTGGTGTTAATATTACTGTGCTAAAGATTAATATAGCAATATTATTGTGTTAAACTGTAGTTTAGTTAATTTTACTGTGTTTAACAGTAAGATAATTAATATTATTGTCAATTACAGCAATATTGTTGTTTAAAAGAAAAAAGAAAAAGATTACATAAATAAAGAAAAGAAGAAAAAAATGAAAAGTCAACGCTGGAATCCGGCGGAAAAAAAATTGAAAAAAAAAAGTTTTGGGTTAAAATTGAATAATTTGTGAAATTTGGGGTCAAATTGAGGTTAAACAAAGTTAAGGATGAAATTGGAGCATATTAAAATATGAGGGGTTATTTTAGTCATTTACAAAAATCTGGACCATGTGTGGACTTATTAGTAAAAGAGTTTTTTGTGTGGATCTTTTTATGAATAAATACTCATTGGTGGGCTTATTTGTAATGACCATATTTTAATATAAACTCAGTCACGAGGCCAATACTTGTCTTAAATATGTAGATAACATAATTTTCACTTGTGATCTATTCTTGGATCAATGGTCCACAACTATTTTCCACAATATGGTCCATGTTTCAGATCATATTTTAAAGGGTAAATTACAAATACCCCCCTGAGGTATGGTTAAATTACAAAAAAACCCCTCTTGTTTGGATAATTACATCTACCCCCCTCAACTATGATTTTTTCTTACCTTTATGGTGCCAAATTCAACATAGTCATCTAGATTCCGTGAAATGTGCTCTAGTTTGTACTCTTTGTGTAAAAAATACAGTTTTCGATGCACCACAAACTGATATATACAAGCTAAAAATCACATATTATGGTCATCTTGCTTCATAATGTAGAGTTTGAATGGGATAAAACGGGTACAAAAGTGATAATATTCCATATCATCTCGAAGATTCCACTAAATTTGATGAGTTGAGGGGGGTGGTTGTAATTATCCAAACAAGAGGGGTGTTTTTGTAATTTGGTCATACCTCAGGGGGGTGTTTGTAATTTACCCTATTTTAAATGAATCTCGTTAGTATTAAAATATATAATAATAAAAACTATTTATTTATGAATAATTCATATTTAAAAGTTCTACGAATGAATTGCATAATTTCTTATAATTTCTCTTATCAAGATTAATGTATGAGGTTAATCAAATAATATTGATTCAAACTTGCAATACCATACTCCTATAAAGGAAAATCTCAAATAGTTGGGACCAAATTCGTTATGCCCAAGGCAGCAAGCCCGACTAAGAGGCTCGGCTTTCATGAGAGATCGAGATCAGAAGCAATGCCGATTCCAGAGTTCGAAACCCTGGAAGATGCATTTATTGCACTTAACCATTTAATGCTAGAATGGGCGCCCTCGGCAGAAAAAGGTCAGTCTAGTGATGACGACTGCCCGGATTACCATGGGTCGTACAGCGAGGTGACACAATTCAATCTAGTTTTGGAGAAATGTTTGGAATCATGTAAGAGGTAAGTATAAATAGAAGCCCCATACCTGATAAAAAAGGCAAGATTTTCTGTAACTTAAATACTCAATACATTTTCCTTCATAAATCTTTCAGCCAACGTACCTAGATATCTACTGACTTGATCATCGGAATGTTAACTCCGGCATCAGCTCAGGTGTTCTTTTTTTACCAGGTCAAGTGAATCCCAGATAAAATGGATGGAGAAGCCATTTTGGTGCGGTTAACAACCACCGCATGAGAGTTCCCAAGGGAACTGCCCACCGCCACGGCGACTCCAGGCGTGGCGAACAATCTTCCTAGCTTTAGCGGTTCCACTATCACTTTGACTGTAGAGCACCTTCAGGCGCTTCTTTCGGCGGAAGCAGTAGGCCAACCATCTTCGAGTCGCTTACGAGATACACCGCCAAAGCGGAGATGTCGGTCCAACCTAGACAACATGACGAGGATCCAGAGGTAAGTCGTGATTGCCTCGACGAAGCTGATGAAAGGAGGGGACATCGTTGAATAAAAGGATACAAGAAAACGACCTTCCAGGAATGTTTAGGCCCGTCGTGTATGAGTCTTCGGGACGACGGATCCTTGGGAGCACATGTCGATATTTAACACCATGTGCCTCCCTACACTGACTTCCAGATGGCGTGAAGTACCGAGCATTCACCATCACCCTAGCTGATCAGGTTCCGAGATGGATCAACCAGCTACTGAAGGCAACAATAGATCGCTTCACTCAACCCAATAAGGTGTTTCTTAACCACTTCGGCAGTTCAAAGAAACAATAGAGGAGTACCATCACCCTGTTAGCCGTAAGGTAGCAGGAGAATGAGTCTTCAGAGCTATGTTCAGAGATTCAACATAGCTATGCTGGAGATTCAACGTCGCTATGCTGGAGATTCGTACCATCAGCGAGGAGGTGTTGGTATGCCACCTATCAAAAGTTAGTGAACACCATGTTCCAGTCCCATCTGGAAAGGAACATGGGGATATATGTGGACGACATGCTCTGTAAGAGCAAAAAGATGACCACCCATATCCAAGATTTGGAATAAACGTTTGCGACCCTCTGCCGGTACGTGATGAAGCTCAATCCCGCCAAATGTGCATTTGGAGTTGAAATTGGAAAGTTTTTTGGCTATATGGTAACAGAGAAGGGAGTGGAGGCCAATCCCTAGTAGGTACAAGCCGTATTAGATATGAAACCAACAAGGAACATTAAAGAGGTGCAAACGCTGGCTGAGAGAAACGCTTCTCTTAGTTGCTTCGCTAGTTACCCATTTTTCAAAATCTTGTGCAAAATGCACCGCTTTGAATGAACCGAGGAAGCCGATCGGGCTTTTGAGCAACTGAATGCTGTTAGCCCGACTACCACTTTTAACGAAACCAGGCCCGAGGGAGAGAATGTACCTCTACCTGATTGCCATAGATCGAGAAACCAGTATCGTGCCCCTGTTTTAACGAAACCAGTATTGTACCTCTACCGGATTGCCATAATAAACAAGGTATGTTATATTGAGTTTTTTGCTAATGTCTGAAAGATTCTTGAAGTACTTTATTTTATTATTGATTTTATTTTCTTTGTTCCCTGTTTATTTTTTTCAATTGTTAAACTAGCTATTGTATCGAACTTTGATTCCCGCTTGAGGAAGCTACCGAAGGATCTCAATATATTTAGAGCTGCTACTTGTTATTCTAGGCACAAGATAGAATATGTTGTCTTTTTTATTGTTTATTTGTTGGATTTTGCTTTAGGTTTGATGTTGTCATAATATAATCGGAGGTTGGATACAAAAAACCGGACGAAAATATATTTAGAGCTGCTTTAGGTAACGTTTAATATTTCCAATTACCCTTTTCACAGACATTATTTAAGATTTTTCGAGGGCAGCAAAGCAGTTCATGTTGGAGATGATTCCAAGGCTGACAAGGCAGGGGGCTAATGCCGTTGGAATCGAGTGCAGGTATATACAGAATCGCATTCTCGTATCGTAGTCTTAAAATACAGCAACCATTTTCGAATCAACATGAATAAAACAACAGGATCTAACTTTAGGCCTATAAGTTTTTACTTACATGGTATTCACTTTAACAATTGCTTGTATTTGTTATCGAGTACTTTAATCGGTTTTGCAATTAGAAAAAGTAACAGACGAACGTTCATCGAAATCAAATGCATTACGCGGAAATGAAATTCAACGTCTGCAATAGTCGATAACTTACATTTCCGCTAACATAACAAACCAAGTAATTGCTTCAAAAAAAAAAAAAAAAAAAGACCAAGTAATCCCCTGGAAATTTGATTTTTTTTTGCTCAAGCCAAATACCGATACAATCGTCTATCCACATTATCCCTCTCCAAGAAATCCCTTTCAATAAGTGACTCAATCCGTTTCTTAATCTCACTCGGGTTAGCCAGAAACCGAGGTTGCAGTTGCTTCGTAACTTCAGCAATAATATTATTATGATCCAAAACCCTCCTCGATTTCATAATCCTAACCACCGCTGCCTCAATCTGTGGCTTTCTATCCTCCTCCACTCTCTGCCTCGTCTCTTGTTTCTCCGGCTCGGATTCCTTCTGTGCAACCACAGTTCCGATTTTAACCTTACGAAGTTTACTAGTAAACTTATCATTAACCGAAAAAACATCATCTTCTCCAATCTCTTTGCTCATGGGCTCTTTTCGCAACACGTTTTTCCCCTTCACACAAGCCAATGACTGGAGACACCTTTTTAAATCAGACGATATAATCTCAGTGGCTTGCTCGATTTCCCTATAGCTAAGACAATCAGAGTTGTTGAACAGCATTAAGACACACATTTGATAAGTCGAGACATTCAGCTCGTATTTCTGACCATTGCCAAAGGTTGCCCTAAGATCAGCTGTACCCATATTCGTCTGCCATGATAATCTTCTACCTGTGTGGGTACCGAGGTAGTAAGATCGAAACTTCTCACACAGTGTTAACAATTCGGAAGGCAAATTGCAGGAGATGCTAGATTGAGTTGGCCACGAGCCGGTGGTCAAAACCTGGACAACTAGGGTGGGCCCACTTGCCAGGTCACCACCATGTGCTGAGTAGAACCCTTGCATTGTGTCCTGAGAGGTTTTCATGTCTGTAAACATGCCTTCTAACTTCGAAGTGAACTGATAACCGCATTCTGTTTTCAGTTTCACAATTAAACTTCTCTCTGCATCATCTGACACTGTTTTTCCAGACAGGAGCCGTTTTGCCAAATGTTGTTTGTAGTATTTCTCGAACACGTCTTTCTCCTGGAGGTAACGGAACAACATCATTACTTTATCGAGCATAATTTCGATGTCCTCTTCTTTCACACCCTTTAACCCTTTCCTCAGTTTATCATCCACGAACAAAGATATGTACTCCGGCGAACGAGGATTCAAATTGATGAAATATTCGAAAGACGAACTCAATGCATTCTGGAAGGTCTTGTCGTTGCTGAATGACGAGGCTATAATCTTATCGTACTTGTCCTTTTTATCGAGCAGTGCCTCCACAAACTCTACGGGATTCTTGGATTTCTCTGGATCAGTGACGAGCTGTTTGCCTGTGTTTCTGATGTGGGAAGTCAACACATCTCGAATTGTAGGAAGGCCAATAGGAACTCGTTTGAATAAGGTGTACATCCTCCCCAAATCTTCCAACTTATCATCTAGAAGCATCTTCACCAATCCTGAATTATCCATGTGAACTAGCCTAAGCATGTGATTGGCTACCATCTCTTTCTCCACGACGTTAGTTATCTTGGCTTCGCTCTTTGCATCCAAGTAGTGCGATACCCTCTCTATTTCTTCATTCAGTCTCCTTTCGGCTTTCTTCAAGTAGTCGCCACAGTCACTACATTCGATGAATTCCTGAGATTCTGCTCTATAAAAATCAGCCGAAACTTCAAGAAATGGCTTCTCAAAATCGTCTTGGTAAACCGAAGGTCCTAAATCCATAAGCATTTTGATTATGTTTCTCATCAACCCTCTGTTGATAACTTCACCCATGCGCTCCCTAAGTATCAATTCAAGAAGCGTGTTTAGAAGCCTTGTCTGAATTTTGTCGGAGTGAATTACGTTGTCTCTCCAGAGGTTCAGACCAAGCTCGTGGACGGGGGTTTTGTGGGTGCTGGGAATGAAAGTTCTGTCCATGTACATAAGTATATCACGGATCATCTGCAGTGCTTTATTGTGATCGCTCCATTTCGTATTAAGCTCCTCGAGGAATAAGCCACCGTGTGCAGACTCTATACTTTTAGACATTGTTTGAAGATGCAACGTCATTGTTGACACAAGTCCCGAATATAGCTTCTCCCCAAATTTGTGTAATACCATATTGTAAGCATTTCTGCGTTCGTAAAGATAATTTCAAATCAGAAACCAAATCATTCATCGATGCAGCATGAGCAAGTTATGTGAGTGTGCAGGAAGAAGAGAAAGACTTAAGTTCGTATCACTAAATGAGAAAATCCATATTTCTAATTGAATTTCATATTTGCCCCCTCTAGTTACGACATGTATCCGAATCCGAGGAAGTCAGATTCAGTAGGTTCCTCGATAAACACCATACCCAATGTTGCTAAGAATACACGGTTCCCCTCTATGTTAATGAAAATATAAACAAGTTCGGATAAACAGCCGTTTCCACAGGCCATATATTACTAATTGATTTGCTTTCCCCCGAATTCGTATATCGAAAATGACAAATACACACATATAGAAAAGGAAAAATTAAAAAATAAAACATCAAATAGCTACACAAAATACAAGCAGATGGAGTTCAATTCCATAGATCATTAACTAGTATATTCGCAAACAAATAAATGAACGAAAAACAAAGCCCACGAACACGATCAAATCAAGCCTATGAACACCATCCAGCCAAATTAATTCACCAATAACTCATATTACCACCAAAAAATTCACTAAAACTAAACCAGAAATGAATTTAAACAAAAAAAAGAAAAACCTGTATAGTTCTTCAAAGCTGAGTCCACTCGCGTTGTGATTATAGATCTCGTGAATTGCATGATCTAAAATCTTCCAAGTCTTCTCTGCATACTTGGGATCCACCACCACTTTGTGTTTAAACGCCTCAATCTGAAAATTCCTCTTCTTATGCCCGCTGCTCATCCTTTCTTCTCAAAATTAGCCCCAATAAATCGGAAAACAATTCTCAAAAAAATCCGTTCAAATAATCGCCGATTAATCGATTGGGCGAACGAGCCTGATGTTTTACTAATTTTCCTTTTCGGTTTTCAAGCGAGAGAGTCCGAATTTTGGCGCTTCAAATTGGGGGAGAGAGAAAATTGAGGAAGATTGAGCTGTACGTTAACCTAATCCGCCATTAACGATGATGCAGAGGTGTGTTTGTGTTGAGAGAAGAGGGGTTTCATTTGGGGGAGGTGTTTGGAATGAAATGTAAAGTGGAAGACCGTCGAAGGGAATTGGTATTTTGGGTTGTTTGGTTGCATGGGTAAAGATAATCTCATTTCTGATTTTTTTTTATTTTAATTTTAGTTCTATTTTTTTGGGATTTACATATATCAGTATGATAAAAAAAATTCTCTCTAAAAAAAAAAACAAAACAAAAAAATCTCCCTACATTTGCAACCCTATAAACATCATTTTGCTGTAATATTGATCTTATGCATCGTTCGGTCCAATAATATAATTGAGTTTCATTATATTATTTAATTTTATCTTAGCTAATCTTATTTCGGCAGACAAACAAGACATTGTTGTTAAGAATTCACATTTCACATTGCCGACAACTTTTGTGTTCGCTCCTGATATTTTCCATGTATTTGCACTTTTACCCATATAAGTTATTTCTTATAATACAAAGGGATTATTTTGTAGACCCCTCATTTACAAATTATATAGAACTAACTACCAAGTATATTACACTCTAGGGGAAACCCCCTCATTTCGAAAATATTTTGGCATACTCCTCTGGGCTACCCTGAAGTTCCTATAATACCCTTCTAAAATCAATTTTAAACCCTAGCCACTCACGGTCTCTCTCTTCTTCTCCCAGATTCAAAATCCCGCCTCCACAAACCTCCCACCGGCGAAATTGCTTCCCGGAACCATAACTCTCTCTCCGGTGGTCGGAATTCGATGGTTTAACTACCGTTGGATTCCTCTCGTCGAGCTCCTTCTTTTGGTGGTGATTTCATTCAGTTTCGAGCGCTGATCTGTTTCTGCAATTTTTTTTCATTCGAGAACGGTGATCTTGCCGGAGCTTTATTTTGTGTTCCACCCGTCGAAATTTGACGGGTCACCCACCGTTGGATTCCTCTCGTCGGGATCTATATTTTGATGGTAATTTCGTTTATTTTTATATTTTCAGATTTATTTCTATATTTTTTTGCATTTGTGGGCGCACGGAACCGTGGGTGGTTATTAGCGGCGTGTAGGGTTTTGGTAGGAGGCGAGGAGGTGAGGAGTCACTGTATGTTTGATTTAAAATCTGTAGCATTTCCCTGCAATAACCTCTCTCTCTATCTCTCGATCTCTTAGTGTTTGTTGATTTTTTAGTGTTTTGATGTTTTTCTTCAAATTTTGTTGATTTGTACTAAAGTAATTTCTTTTTGTTTTGATTTTGCAATTGCAGCTTAATGAAGGCCATTGATCCTTTCCTTGAAGGTGTCAAATTTTTTTTTTGAAGTTACATGTGATGCAGTGTTCAACAAACTGTATACATTACTATACATTACTATAGTAACATGTAGTTACATATGCGTATATTTGTGTATTTTCGATTTGTATTTTATTGGTTCTGATGTGATTTATAATAAAAATATTGAAATTTGTAAATTTTTGTTGGGGTTTTATGAATTTATTTTGTATAAGTCAGTATTCGTGTGTATATACAATTGATCGACTAAAAACATGAGGAAGAAAAACGAACATAACTATGAATTACTATAGGTACTATAGTTACATGTAGTTATTTTCAGTATTGTAAACATATTGTTTTGAAAATTAAAAAAAAATTAATAAAAAATTAATTTTTTTTTTAATTTAAAAAAAATTAAAAAAATGAATATATATATATTTAACACAAACAGGGTTATAAAAAAAATGATAATAATAATAATAATAATAATAATAATAATAATAATAATAATAATAATAATAATAATAATAATAATAATAATAATAATATATATAT